AAGAGTGCCAACTACGATTTTAAGTGAAAGCAATAGGTTAACGTGAAATTTAGAAGGGAGATGTGACTCAACAGACTGATATAGGCTTGGTAAGTATCCTCCTTTGTACAAGAGGCAATCTTCTCATTTGATCATTTGTGTCTGTAAATTTTCCATCCATTTTTTTCTTCTTATGGGACGTTCGAACTAAAAAAATTGCTAAAGCTAAAGTTGCTAACAGAATCCAATTGGTTGAAAATTTAACTCAGATTTAACTCTTTAATCAGATCTCGTAAAGCTTTATTAAATCTTGTAATCGGAGTATAGTCGGCCACATTGTCTCAGAATGATCTGTTTGAGCTAAGAGAAACCACCGATGAAAATAACGCTTAAACAAATAGTTTATGTTTTATTTTACTTTTTGCTTAGTTTTTATTTTGTTTGCAAACTGAACAGTTCAAATCTTTAGGAAACAGAAGAATATTACACAGATATTTTTTTTCGCTTTTTATTTTGTTTTTTATACGTACCCAGTTAATGTAGTAAAAGATATCCTCTCTTTTCTTCACGTTTCTTCTGAGAAAACCTTTTACCCCTTGTGAATTTTAACCTGTTCTGGCCATGTGTTTTTTAAATGTTTTAAATAGAAGACTGGTTTTCTTTCTGTATGCACGTTTTACAGCTGATATTTTTATTTTTTATTTCATTTACAATATTCATAACATGTTGCAAAACGAAATATTATCTGATTTTAAGCCATACAAGTACTTTTCCTCACTCACCTTATACCACATGGAAGCTCAGCCCCATTGTGGAGAGAAAGTTTGTGTAAAAAGATCTTTGTTTGCCTCATACGGTGTCAATATACAGTTAAATTTTGAAATATCGAACGCTATGTTTTAACTGTTCGAGTTTGACCGCTTTTCCAACAAAATCATCTCTAAATTTCTGAATTTACTACTCATATAGTAATATTTTTTGAGTCATCTCAATTTGTTTCTATCATAACATGATTTTTTGATACATTGTACAGTTCTGTAAAAAATCTTTTCAGTATGTATACTAGCTTTACATTGTATTTTATTCAAGAGTTACAAAGTTTTCAAAGATAAGTATGAAAAATGAAAAGAAAAACCGCTATTTTTTTGATAGACATTCCACTGTTGTATACATGTGATCTTCGTAATTTCTGATAATAAAAAGCTAGTATACATATCAGATTATAGCTAAAGAGATTTTTTACGGAACTGTATATGTGACCAATGTCAGTGCTGTGTCTATTAGAAAATGTATACAATTGAAACAAAAATAACAAAACTAAAATTATTCTAACGGAACAACTATCGAATGGTCGCAACTAAAAACCTTATATTTCTAATTAGCACAGATTTTTTTATTTTATTGTTTATGCTACGTTTCGTCACTTGTTATTATAATACTCAACTATAGTAAAAATATGATGTGTGTATGTATATCAGTAGGTTCTGCTGCGTTTTTAGTTCATATTGAGTGTCTGATCTAATGATAATATTTAATATACTTGTTAAATATTAGATTTCTCTTTTCAATTTTAGTTGATTATTTTATTCAATGGCTGAAAATTCAACAGATGAACCGTTTATCACCGATACAAGCACAGCTGATTCAACACAAGTAGGCTGTACATCATGGTTATTAATGTCATGTATTATCCTGACAATGTCAACAGCATTTGTCTTCGGATGGGGTCTTGGCGCACCGAATCAATATAATGTATTTACTGAGAAATTTTTGAGTGGTAGTAATCCATGTATTGTTAAACCTCCCGATGATTCACTATTGAACTTAGCCACATCGACAATACCAGATGCCATTGTTGCGATGGGGGTGAACGTTGAAAATCCTATGGAAGACATAACTACAAAAATACCAACAAGACATCAAATACGACCTCGTTTTAATTTTGTATTGGAATTAATCAAGGGCCTGCCGCAAACTGCATTTTTAATTGGTGCATTCATTGGCGCATTAACTGGTCCACATTGGACCAGCTGCCTTGATCGCAAGAAAAGTGTTTATGCAAATTTTGTATTTTGTTTTGCATCATCCATTTTTGTTATATTATCATATTATTTACGTTACCCATCGTTCTTTTATACATCACGTGTTTTATTGGGTTATCAAGGAGGAATGGCTTGCGTTATAGTACCACCATATATTGGGGAAATTGCTTCGCAGAAGGTTCGTCTGCTGTTTTCAGATCATGTTTCTTTGGTCAAAAAATGTTTTCATTCTTAGGTACGGGGTGCAGCAGGTGCCTCGTTTCAATTGTCACTTACGATTGGTATTTTAATGGCGCAAATCACTGGTCTACCTGCTCTGGCTGGAACATGTCGTGGTTGGGGCTGGGGCTTAGGTATTGTGTTCATTTTACCGTTGATTGCCACCTTTCTCTTGTTTTTCGTTCCAAATTCACCAACACAATTGATAAGAAAATATGGTAATGAAGAACAAGCTAAAAAGGATTTAAAAAAATTACGTGGTACTCCAGACGTTAGTAAGGATTTGACTACTATTCATGCTCAATCAAACGCAGAAGGTGGTACCAAATCATTATCGGTAATTGCTGTTATTACCACACCACGTTATCGTTGGCCAATGATAACAGCCGTTGCATTACAATTTGCTCAAGCATTTTCTGGTATTAATGCCGTCTTTTTCTATTCATCAAAAATGTTTCAGAAAGCGGGCATCCCAGATAACTTAATTCCCGTTGCTAATATTCTCACAGGTTTTATTAACGTCGTGGCTACTATTGTTGCGTTATTATTGATGGAAAAAGTTGGCCGTAAACCACTAATTCTTGGTCCAATGAGTGTTATGGTAGTTGTATTTGGTATTTTGACGGCCTTAGTTGAAGTTAATGAAAGAAAAAATGATCCTACATTAGGTTGGGTTAGTGTCGTTTTTGTTCTCATTTTCATTGTTTGTTTTGCTATTGGTCTTGGACCAATACCATTTTTCTATACGTCTGAAGTATGCCGTCCCGAAGCACGTGATAGTATACAATCATTGGGTCAGGTGGCCAATTATCTTGGTAACATATTATTATCATTATTTTTTCCGATATTAAATTCAATATTAGGTGGGTATGTATTTCTTATATTTTGTCTATTAGTTTTATCTTTCGCAATATTTTTATATATAAAAATGCCCGAAACAAAAAATAAATCAATTGAAGAAAATGAAAAACATTGGAACATTACTAAATGAAGCGCATTGAAAAGTTTAATCATTACTAGTTCATATATAATTTATGTTGAATTAAATACGCTTCAAAAACATATCTATGTCAATAGAGCCTTCGCTCTTTAATGTGTACGTTTTTGATTTTTAGTTTGATGCTCCTATATATACTTCTTTTCTTTTTTTTCATTGAGCAACTTGTACTTTTTTCTATTATTATTATTTGAACCATTATATTATATTAAGCTGCTCAACCACAGCGGACTATATTTTATATTGTTCAACTTTCTTGTATTTGTTCATGTTGTTTATGTTTATATTTCTGAAAGTTGTATGAATTACATTGAGCAGATTCAATCATTTTTATTGATGTTTCTTTTTCATATTTGTTCTGTTGCATGTTTCTGTTTCTTTTTTAGTGTTCGGTTAAGAATATATGAGCAGAAGATAAATATAGAAACGAGTTCGTTAGACATTGGTTGCAAATAATATTTCAGCGTAAAGCAAGTTATTCATTCAAATCCTTGACTAATTTATCTAAGAATGATTGCCAAAAAACAAAATGCTTTTTGTTAAAAAAAAGCTATAGTTTTATTTTTCTTACAAGGAGAACTGCAACTTTCTGGACATTTTTTCTATTTTAGAAAAGTAGTTGTCCTAGATAATTCAAAATATTACATAGGATGATCAACAAGTTCTCGGAACTGTTAAAACATTATCCAGATTCGATTTATCAATCTACCAAACGTCGGAGGTCATCAGCACGATGTTCGATACAAATTTGTATCCTCTCAATTCGCTTTTGAAACATCTTTTTTATATTCATGACAAGTATCGAATTCAGTACCTTGGTTATTACTTTACTTAAACTTTTTACATCTGTACATTTATCTACTCTATCTCTAGGGTAACTGAGAAGCCATACGTCGCAAGAGTAAGGTGGGCTGAATACGTCAGATAAGTTACATGTCTTGTTTTCCTTCTTTACGTTAGTCAATAACAATGTTTTTCACATGTAATTGTGCATGTCATGATGGAATTCGATAACATTCGTTCCTCATGTTGATGTTTTGTTTGATAACTTTTTAACTAGTGGTGTTAAACATTCATTAAAATAATCAATAGTATTAACAGATACCCGCAGATTGTACTCGATGAATAAGTGGATCAGTTGCCATAAATAAGATGGTCAACGTTGTTGCTTTTTCGTATTGTTGCCTTTTAACGATAGTTGGAGGGCTTTCCCTTTCCTGCTAACCATGGTTTTGATTCAGTCATGCGATCGTACATGTGCATCTCATCGCCAGTGGTTACATCATATAATGGCTATACACCACTTTCAAACTTCTAAGTTTTAATATTTAACAAAAAATTTAAACTGCCTCAATAACCAAGGAACTGAATTCGATACTTGTCATGAATATAAAAAAGATGTTTCAAAAGCGAATTGAGAGGATACAAATTTGTATCGAACATCGTGCTGATGACCTCCAACGTTTGCGGTAGATTGATAAATCGAATCTGTTTTCCTTGGATAATGTTTTAACAGTTCCCAGAACTTTTTGATCACCTTATGTAAATAGGAAAAGTTTAGGATGTAAGACAGAAGAATGTAAGACTTATATTAGACAGAAGTAGTTCATAGTGAAGAATTACGAACGAATCAAATGGGTTCTTTATTTCAATATGTGGTCAAGAAATTAGTTCACAATTATAAAGCGTACTTCTCTATCGTAGAGTTATTTATTAATTGGCTACACGTTTTAACTATATGTGTAGTCTTCTTTACTGATAACAAAAACTAAATAATTTCAATTCAAAATATAAAAACTGAACAATTGAATAAACACACTTCTTTGATAAAACTGATATTAAACAGAGTGCGTATAGATAGGGCAGATAGCAGAGCATATACTTTTAATAGGAACAGTAAAAAATATAAAACGTAATAAAATCAGTATCTACAGGCAAATTTTGAATATTTTTTGAAAATTCTTTCACCAACGTATAGTTGAGACTCTTCTGAACACCATGAAACAAAAAATTTCCGTTTATCATTTGAAATGAGTGAGCTCTTGCTTGTATAAAGCATTCACCTTCTTTTCTGTTTCTAATAGATGCCGTTGTTATTAAGAACAGAACGCTTTGTTATATTTATCTAATAGGAACACTCCCATTCAGATACACATGGTTTTATACGAAAGGAAAAAGTCTTCTTTTCTACCTGACTTGTAGATTTTGGGGGTACCATTGGGAATACGTGAGTTGTTGGCACTTTTAGAAAAAAGTTTTTCTACTATCTGAAGTATACAATCGATGGGTGGTTCTGAGACAAAATTTACTCGGAAATGTCTGGAACATAAACTGGTGATAATTCTTTTTACAAAGAGACAAAATTTGTCCATACTTTCGTCTTATACAAGATTCTGTTACTTTCTACGAACAGTCTCTTAGTGTGAGATCTTATTTTTGATGGTAGGTAAATCGCATTTCGCTGTTTTCAGTCATTTTTGTCTTACCCACTTACTATCAAAAGATTTCTGATCAAGGTTAGTTCAAAGCACGGATCTCAGTTTTCCATGTTCGACCCCACTTCTCTTCACAGACAATAGGTATCAAAATCGTTAGGCTACCTCAGAGGAATGACATAGCGTCTTCTTTAGAATATGTTTTGGATTGAAAACACGGTAAATACCGTACAGATTTCCGGAAAACCGAAATTTTCGGAAATTCATACAAAAACCATATGTATCTGAATGGGAGTGTTCCTATTAAATAAATATAACAAAGCGTTCTGTTCTTAATAACAACGGCATCTATTAGAAACAGAAAAGAAGGTGAATGCTTTATACAAGCAAGAGCGCACTCATTTCAAATGATAAACGGAAATTTTTTGTTTCATGGTGTTCAGAAGAGTCTCAACTATACGTTGGTGAAAGAATTTTCAAAAAATATTCAAAATTTGCCTG